TCTTCAAAGGAACGGCGGTGGTTAACGGAGAGTTCAAGGAGCTGAGCCTGGATGATTTCAAAGGGAAATACCTGGTTCTCTTCTTCTACCCCCTGGACTTGTGAGTGCGGGTTTCTCCCCTTCCCCACGGGCCTGCTGCCCTGCTGAAGGTCATCGGAAGCACTGCATAGCCGTGCTGTATGATGTGGCTGGTTTGCTGCTGTTGGGGCGAACCTTGCAAGGCAGATGTGTGTGTTTCTAGAGCGTGAGTGATAAGATTTGGGGCCACATGGCCCCTGTGTGTTAAAGGAATGGATGTGGGGGGTGTAGAGCATCGTACAGCTGCCAGGACTGCTTCAGGAAGTAGATGCAGCCTTACAAGTGTGGTTCCTCTTACATTGCCTTGCATCCTGGGGTTGCCTTCATTGAAATGTACCAAATAAATGGTTTATTTCCGAATAATAAAGCGGCTGCCCCATCCCTGGCAGTGTTCAAGGCCAGGTTGGACACAGGGGCTTGGAGCAACCTGCTCTAGTGGAAGGTGTCCCTGCCCGTGGCAGGGGTTGGAGCTGCAGGAGCTTTAAGGTCCCTTCCAACCCAAACCAGGCTGGGATTCTGTGATAGGATTTTTAAGCAGTGGAGCCAGCAGAACTGCAGCTAGACAGCTCCAGAGCAAAAGGTGAACAGATGGGGTTGAGTGTGTCCACAAGACTTGAATTGCATCCTGAGGTGTGTGTGGGCACATGGGGGAGGATTTAACCTGCAGTGCTTTTCTGCTGTAGTTCCCAAACTCTTCGTCTAGAGGGTGTCTAGCAAAGGCAGTTTCTCCATCACTGCAAAAATCCTGTCTAGAACCGAGAGCTGAAGACTGGTGTGGGAGCTCAGTGGCTGTGGCTTTGAGACTGAAATGAATCCTGAAGTGGGGGGGAAACATGGTTAAAACTGCCATGCTGAAGGAAACCCTCTGCTGCATTAGTGCCTAGAAACAGACCTGAGAGTCTTTTCAGTAAAACATTGAAAGGATTGCAGGATCATTACAGCCTGTTCTCTCTTCCCACCCAGCACCTTTGTCTGCCCCACAGAAATTGTGGCTTTCAGCGACAAAGCAAAGGAGTTCCGTGATGTGAACTGTGAAGTGGTGGCAGTGTCTGTGGATTCTCATTTTTGCCATCTGGCCTGGATAAATACACCACGAAAGGTATGAATCAAGCAGCTGTTTGGGGCTCTCTCTGTTGGTTTGTTGTCTGTTCACAAGAGATCCTGAGAAGAAGAGTGGAATAAAATACTGTGCTAATGCTGATTTCAGTAGACTGCTTAAAGTGATATGTGATTAACTTCTACATTTGATGACATAATTCCATCCTCAATGTTTGTTTTCTTGCTCTTTTCCTTAATAATTTGGGGAGGGGAGGTACCTTTGTTTTGCTGTCTTTATAGTCTTGTAGGTTACATCATATCCTTCTATGTTTATCTCAGAAGACAAATACTCTGTATACATGTCACTGTCCCAAGCTGCTTGTTGCAGCTGATGGTTTGTATGTGCCATTGCAGAAAGCAAACAGCAGCTCTTTAGTCATTATTAACTGATGCCTAATAGTGGTAGCTTCAGACTGGAAGCACAACAACCAGTTTATTGGAGCACTTATCATAGAATCCCAGGCTGGTTTGGGTTGGAATGGACCTTAGATTGTCTGGTTCTAACCCCCCTGCCACGGGCAGGGACACCTTCCACTAGAGCAGGTTGCTCCAAGCCCCTATGTCCAACCTGGCCTTGAACACTGCCAGGGATGGGGCAGCCACAGCTTCTCTGGGCACCCTGTGCCAGCGCCTCAGCACCCTCACAGGGAAGAGCTTCTTCCTCAGAGCTCATCTCAATCTCCCCTCTGGCAGGTTCAAGCCATTTCCCTTGTCCTGTCCCTACAGGCCCTTGTCCAAAGCCCCTCTTCAGGTTTCCTGTAATCCCTTTAGGCACTGGAGCTGCTTTAAGGTGTCCCCTTCAGGAGCCTTCTCTTCTCCAGGCTGACCCAGCCCAGCTCTCTCAGGCTTGTATTACTAACTCTCACTTGTTGAAGTGGTTCTACTTCTGTAGTACAAACAGAGGCCCTCAGCTTTCTTTGGGGAAGGAAGGTGACAGAGATGGCCTTTTGCTGGAGAGGAGCCTATTTCAGGTATATGTAAAAATACATGCTTTTGGCCACATAAAGCATCTCAGTACTTTGGTCAGCTGAAGAGAGCCAGGAGTGTCACGGGAAGGTGCGGAAGTGCCTGTGCCATCAGTTGTTTCCTGTGTGGACAGTGGTTTGTAGCAGTGCTCACAGACTGGGCTGCCTTCAGGTGCACAGTTCTGCCATTGCCACACCAGGGGAGGGAGGAGAGTTTGCTGGATTTAATATGGTAGCAAGAGCATTCAGTTTTCTGCATGCTTTGTTCAAAGCTCTAAGGTGTGACCATGGGCTGACTTCACTGCTTCATGCAGAAGCTGCTCAGTCAGGCGCTGCTCCATGCACATACAGCAAAACACCCTGCAGAGGGTGGAAAGAATTCCATGGTGGCACAGGCAGGAAGCTGACACCAGAGAAGCCAAGGCCTTGGTTTCTCCAAGAGATATCTGTGTGCAAAGCTCTGTGTAAGAGAATTCCATTGGTGACAAGGCTTTGGAGGGTCACGGTCCGAGTGACTGTGGTTACACAATGATTCACTGATGATGCCAGGAATAGAAAAGCTAACAAATTCCCTGCTTGTTTCAAGGGTAGAGATCTTATCTCTCCTGCAGTTCCAGTGTGTTGCAAAACTGAAAGAAGTCTTGCTTGACTCTCCAAATAGTATTTAAATTGATTTGGGGGAGGTAAAAATAGCGTGAGCACTGAATAGTGAGCAGCGGAACTCTGACATACTTAGTGTGGCTGTTGGAAGCCTTGTGCTTTCTCTGTTCCTAGGATGCAGATTTGTTTTCCCTTCCTGCCCCCCCATGTTCATCTTGTCTAATTTTGAGCACTTCAATATACAGTAGACATTTTTGTATTCAAAGCTCCTAAATAGGGCACAAGGGAAATCTTTCTGAAAATTGGACTTGTCATAGGAAGCCTTTTACCATCGAAATGGGCAGTTCCAAAATGCTCAGTGCAAAAGAAGCTTTCATGTTCCAAAGAAACCAAATATTCCTGTCTACATAAAAACAACAAAACAAATCAAAACCAACCCAACAACCACACACCCTCGCGTGTTTCCTTCCATGGAGCTAATGGCGTGGATGGGTTTTGTTGTATATCCTCAAGAGCACTGAATCCAACAGCTCAGGAAGGATAATCCTAAGAAGTGTTTTGTAACAAAATGGGATCTTCCTCTGTTCTCTAGAGTGGTGGTTTGGGCAAAATGAATATTCCAGTTCTGTCAGACCTCTCGAAACAAATCTCCCGGGATTACGGAGTGCTCCTGGAGGGACCTGGCATAGCACTGAGGTAAGGTGTGCCTGCTGATAACTCTACCCAGCCTCAACCACCGTGAGCCATGCTGTCACCTCCTGCAGGGGAAACTGCATGAGGATCAAGCAAGGACTGTGGGACGTTATTTTTCCAGCAGAGGTTCTGCTGGATCCCACCCCAGGAAAAGGGCACGTGGCTGTTTTGGCCATTGAGCTGAGATGGTTCCAGTAACTCCATGTTACTGAGGAAAACACAAGTAGGACAGAAGAGCATTTATGATTTTCTTTCATTTTTTCACAGTTTAGGTCTGTCCCTTCTTCCCTTTTCTTGTTTTTGTTTCCTTTCTTCTGAAGGGAGAAGAGACTGCCTTGACTTCTGTGTGAGAAGTTTCTGAAGCAGTTGTCCCAGAGGCCCCTACAGTCATTATCTAGAGAAGGAAATGCCAATTTTATTCCACCATGAGAATACTTTTTAAAAGCAAATAGTGGTCCCTGAGAAACAATGGACTGGGTGCGAGTCTTCTGGAGACCTTTAGTTCCTCATCCGAAGAGATGAGGAACTTCTATTATTTGTGTGTTGACAAATTAACTAGTCTGATAAGAGTGGGCTTTGGTTTTCACAAATGTTTATATGCACCAGGATTTAATGTAGTTGCTTCATGTGTAAGCAGCTCTTCACTCAGTACCTTCAGGTTTTCATAACAGAAAGACATGGGAAGGATGCCAGGATGTCAGCTGTCAATTTTGAAATATAGGTGGAGTGAAAAGTTCCACCTTTGTTATACATCTTTCTTGATTTAATAGTCTTCATGCATACTTTGTAATCTCACAGCAGCATACCCATTGACTGGTTCTTGCCTTCTGATCACTAACAAACACCAAGTCAAGACTTCGTATTGCTACTCCTAACTCTGATACATGCATCTAAGAAGGATTACCTTGCTGAAATAGTTGATCTAGTTTCTTGTGTTTGGTCTTGGAGCGTGATTCACATTCCCTAAATCCTTGCTCAATTACAGAGGTCTCTTCATCATTGATCCAAATGGGATCGTCAAGCATCTGAGTATCAACGATCTCCCCGTTGGCCGTAGTGTGGAAGAGACTCTTCGCTTGGTGAAAGCATTCCAGTTTGTGGAAACACATGGAGAGGTTTGCCCGGCAAACTGGACTCCAGACTCCCCTACAGTAAGTGTCTGCTAAATACCACTCCTCTAAATATAGCCACCGGCTTATTTTGGCACGTCTGGAGTGCTGAGAACCCCTGTAACGTGAGGTGCTGGATTCAAGCTGTGCCTGTTGTCTAAATCTGAGGCTGTTATCAGTTGGACCAGTTCAGTCTGTTTGTATGATACTAAATGTGTGATTTCTGTGAAGTCACTGATTTTCTTTTGAATGACACAAATTATATTTAAAACTCTAAATTTGACTTGGACTCACCACCAGTTGTGTTCAGATTTTTTTACTTACTTAATGCCCTGCTTAATATTTGGCAGGAAAAATGTGTTTTATACTTAAAGTTTGCAAGTAGGAGCTTGTACATCATTTAGGCTTTTCATCTTGCAACCAAGTGCAGAAACAGAAATAACATCATCTTTATTAACCATGCATGGATTTTCTTGGATAAAATGTCAAATCTGGTAAATTCCCTTATTTATAGTGTCTAATAACTAAACTTTCTTTTCTTGACAGATCAAACCAACCCCAGAAGCTTCTAAAGAATATTTTGAGAAAGTGCATAAATAAATACCCAAATATGTGGACAAAACTGTTGGTTACTATAAACAGAAGACATTAGGAAAGCAGCTGTGATTATGATTGGTAATAATAAAATCAAAGTTCTCATTTTCTCATGTTGAAGAAGAAATTAAATGCTGAACTAGTTACTGGCTCCCTTGTCTTGCTTTAAAAAGAAGGATTAAAACTGAGGCCCTCTCCCTTTTTGCAACTTCAGTTTCATGAGTATCTGTGACATAGTCTTCGTCCTGAATACAAGTACACAAAGTCGAGGTTTATCTCCCACTGGGTTTCCCCTCTTTCCTTGACTAGTTTTGGACCAGAAAGTGTCCCACGTTTTCCTTTCTCACAGGAAAAGCTGAATTCTGTAACAAGAGTTTAAAACCATGGGGACAATACAGAAAATAAAACATTGATACGTGGTTTGTGTTTAATGAATGTTGCAGAGGAAGAGATGAAGGTAACAAGTCAAACTGTAAATGCATTATAGCTTGAAATGAATGTAAATATGTGCCATTTTACTCTTGCATGTAGTCAAAGATGCAGGGCAGCTACAGAGGAGGGTTAACAAGCATGAAGGACTGATTCTGCTCGGGATGGTAAAAACTTGAACCCCAATAGTGTACTTACTGGAGCTTAACAAGTCTTCTGTCATTTGAAGCGTTGCTTGCTTGAATCTGTTAGTTGTAAACAATGAAGTTGAAAGCAATGCAGCATCTCTAGATATAATAATAAATCTTAACGCTGGCAAACAGCAGGTGTGTTGCTTTGCTTTTCTTTCACTTTTTTCCTGGATTCCTAGTTTTGAAGAGGTTGGGTAAGTCACATTGCCTTACAGGGTATCTTCTGTACCTTTGTTCACAGCAAGCAGTTAACTGCCACTGCCTTTGTGTACGCTGGTGAGCAGCCCATAGCAAGTAGTGGGTGTGCTAGTGGAGGGCTGCACCCCCAGAGCGTGAGCAGCAGGTTGAGGGAGGGGATTCTCCCCCTCTGCTGAGCCCTGGGGAGCCCCCCCTGCAGCCCTGATCCAGCTCTGGGGAACAGCACAAGAGGGACGTGGAGCTGCTGGAGAGAGGCCAGAGGAGGCCCCGGAGCTGCTGCGAGGGCTGGAGCAGCTCTGCTCTGGAGCCAGGCTGAGAGAGCTGGGCTGGGGCAGCTGGAGAAGAGAG